TGATGCGATGGCCTAGGACGTATAGCCCAAGGAAGGAAGGCTTCCATGCATGTCGCAGCTCTTTGGGTAGCAGAGGCTCCTGGCCCTGTGGGCAGGCACATTCTGTCCTTCATCTCCATCCCAGATGGATTTTGGAGATCAAAGGTAAGGCTCTCTGCTGCTGTAATGCTATTGATGTCAATCTGGTTGTGCCGCAGGGAAGTTGGCTCTCTCCTTTTAATTACAGTAGATATTAAACTTGAGTCTTCAAGGTTGAAATTCCTACCTTTGGCCTGCACAGGATCTATAGATCACTCAAATCTCACTTAAACCCTCAAAGTGGTTCTTTAAATGTTGTTGTCAAGGCTTAGTGCTGGCTTTCTGCATGGGGGAAATGTCTCCACTAGACAATTGCCTGTAGGCTGCACATGGAGTAATCAGCCACCCTGATTGCTCCTGGTGATCCATAGCATTGATCTTCTGGTGGTGGAGTCAATAGTTCCCAGTGCTGGGTCATCAGCTGCTTCCCTCTGGGTCACAGTCTGTGACTGTCCCAGCAATATACTGAACCATGTTGGTGCAGAAAAAGCCTGCAATAAAATGTGCAAGAAACTGCAAAGAACCCCCTGATAAATGAGATCTGTAAGTCATTCTTTGAGGCTGTGCTGGAACCTGGTTATTGCTTAATAGACTATGTGCAGTGGAGCTCGGTTTATGGGGCAGGAGCTTGCTAAAAGGAGAAGGGCTCCTGGCAGCTCATTTAAGCACAATATTTGGGTGCTCCCCCAAGGCAGAGTAACCAGTGGAGGTTCCACATGGGTTGTACTGGTGCTTCCAGCCAGCGCTGGTGCTCTGATACAAATTGTACATTTTGGATCATCATTGGCTCTTCCCTCATTAGGGCTTTGGCTGTTCCTCCAAGCTGTTCCTGGCTGGACCCATGAGACTGCATTTGCCTTCCCCCTCACCCCCAGCTAATATTTTTCTGCATAGCGTTTATCTAAAATATTTCTAGTTATTCTTTTTCTGGCTGTTGTGGTTTAACCTGGCAGGCAGTTAAAACAACTACAGAGCTGTTCACTCACTTCCCCTCCCATGGGGGGATGGGGGAGAGAATCGGGAAAGGGAAAAAAAAAAAAGAGGTAAAACCTGTGGGACAGAAGAGGAAAAGAATAATAGAATATACAAAACAAGTGATGCACAGCACAATTGCTCACCCTTGATGACCAATGCCCAGCTAGTTCCTGAGTTGTGGTCCTGGCCAGCCCCCAAATCATATGCTGAGCATGATGCCATATGGTATGGAATATCCCTTTGGCCAGTCTGGGTCAGCTGTCCTGGCCGTGTCCCCTCCCAGCTTCTTGGGCAACACCAGCCCCTCACTGGTGGGGCAGGGTGAGAAGCTGGAAAGTCCTTGACTTGGTGTAAACATTGCCTGGGAACACCCAGAATATCAGTTTATCAACATTATTCTCATGCTAAATCAAAACCACAGCATTATACCTGCTATGAGGAAGAAAATTAACTCTATCCCCACCCAAACCAGGACACTGGCATGAGTTTGAAACTCTGCAGAGTTTCCCTTGTCATTGAGCTCTGCAATACAGAGAAATTGGGGCTTCTTTCCCAGTAGTTGCTGTCTTCTTCTCATCTCTTGCTTCCTCTGTGTGGTTTGTTAACAATTAAATTCACTGCCATTACGTCATGTCTGCAGAAGGCATGAATCCTCCTGTAAGATCTGCCCGTACCGCCTCCTTCCATGGCCTTTTCTAGACCTCGTCTACCTGTGCTTCCCTTAACTTCTCTCCTGATTCACAACCAGACTGCAGCACTGTCGAACTGGGACAGCCGCATCCCCGAGCTGCTGTAGGAGATACAGCTCCATCGCTGTCTGCGCAGTCAACAGCTCTGCCCCAGCAGGACCCAGACCCCTTGCTCTCCTTTTCCCTCTTGTGTATTGTCTGTTGTAGTTTATTTTAAATGCTGGGATAGTGCTACCTCCGGAGAAGTTAATAATCCTTGTTCAGGCTGAGGGCTGCATGTCCCACCCTGGCAATAAGCTAACCTCGCTGTGTTAGGAGTGCCATTAATGCTGATGGAGGGCAGTGGATCTGACAGCTGTAGGGCTGGAGGTCAAGTTTGCTGTGGCACACATCTCAGATTTTCAGCATGATAGGCTTTGATAACATTAAATGGAGTGAAGAGCTTCTCTTACCCAGATTCTATTCCTTTTTTCTCTCCTTCTTAAATTAAGGCAATGCAGTGTTGCATTGTAAAAAGGATCTATTTTTCTACTGACCCATTTCAGTAAAAATTCAGCCCATCCAGAGTGTGTGCTGCTTTTGAAGATGGAAAGAAATTCATAGATATTAAGAGCACTGTGATCAGCTCATCTCATGTCCTGCATAATACAGCCTGGAGAATCCCCCTGGGACTCTCCTCTTGAGCCCAGCACACTGCAGCTGGGTGACAGGGTGGCTCTTTGTGTGATTATCCAGAGCCATCTTAAGGTCTGACTCAGGGGTCCTGTTCCATCACTTCTCCTTCATCAGTAGGATGCGAGACACTTGCTGTGGGAGATGGCAGCCTGGTTTTGGCCCATCGTGCCACCAGCATGCTGAAAATACTGGCTTTTCAGCCTGCTCCCTGTGTGTTTGCAGCATCTGTGCTTTTTCAGACCTTGGTTGAGGGAGAATGAGGGTGGTGAGAGTGTGCTGAGACAGGAGCTGGGAGTGCTACCAACATCTCTCCTTTTATTCCTTCCCTTTGAGGGCCTGGGGTCACCTATCTCAGTGGGAGCTATGGACCTAGGGGAGCTTTCCGGTCAGCTCCAGATGCCCAGCAGTGGATGAAGAAGATATTTGTGCAGCTTAGCGAAGCCAGTCCTGTCTCCTCCTTTTTACAGAATCACAGGTTCTGAGTTGCTGACAGGAGAGTTACCTCCAGAAGGCAATTAAAGGCACCTAAATGAACATCCTGCTGCTAATCACCTTCCAAAGGACCTGTCTCCTTCCTCAGATGGAGAGAACTGCCTTTGCCTTTTCAGGCACCCTGAGGGGCCTTGTTCTGCAATGGAAGTGATTTATGGCTCTCAGGAGGCTGCACACCCTGCAGAAGAGGGCAGTTTTCTTGTGAACTGCCTTAAAAATCATTTTTCCCCATTTGTTCCACAAATGAAATGAAACAGCTCAGTCTGAGGACTTGCAGAAAGACTTGTTTCCATCAAGTCCTTGGAAATGCTGTCATGTTTCATTCCAAGAGAAATTGCTTTGAAACTTCTCTATTGCAAAAAAAAAAAAAAAAAAAAATCTGAAACTGCAGTTTCGTCTCTTCCTCCCACCCAAAGCTGTCTGGGTTGCCCTGGGGCAAGAGTGATGGATTCAGGTCCACCTCGTTGATGGCTGTCACATGTATTCATGTATCTCTTCCCAGCCGTTTCCAAGGTACGGGTATCTCAAAGATACCCAAGTAATCTAGGTGCTGTTATTTTGAAAAGTCACCAAGATTTCCAGGTTGCAGAGATCATGCTTCTCAGTTTTTTGCAGCATGATGTTTTCAGACAACATCTAACAAACTCCTAGCCTTTTGAGTCTTAATGTAACCACCCAAAAGGAAAATACTCCAAGGCATTAGTCTTATTTCCTGGCCATAGTTGTGTCATTTTGTTGCATGGTCCTAACAGAGTGATCTGATGACAGCCCACTTCTTGGATAGTGCCCATAAGAAATAGGATGTTTCATGTTTAGAGGAGAGCCTTTGATTTGGTAGTTTAGCCTTTGTACAGCTGTGCAGGTTTGATGTCTTGGTCACAGTATGTTAGAGCTGTTCATTTCCTTAATTTTTGGCATTTACTAAAGAGGTTTTATGCCTTTCTTTTCTATGAGATTAAATGCGAATAGTGATTTTGTGTTTCCAGCTCTGCATCCCCATATGCAGTTTGGGACTTGGCTGGCTGTCCCATCAACAGTGGGTGGTAGAGCCACCCATACCAGCCTGGGGAGCTAGCGCTGATTTCTGCTCACGCTCTTGCTTTAAGCAGGATTGGAAATGTATTCAGAGGCTGCCCAAATAATATAACTATACCTGGTATATCTAGAGAAGAGATGAAGATCTGTTTGCATCATGTTAGTACATAAATCCAGCTCCCCTTAAGGTGCTTAGGCGCATTTGGATAATGACCTGGAACAACCTAGGTAGCAGGAGGTTACATGTACCTGTCACGTCAGCCTCCGCAAGTGTGCGAGATTGCCAGCCAGCAGGCAAAAGCAGCCAATTACGCCACGCTCAGAAGCGTTTCATTCTTTTTTTCCATCTACCCAGCTCCACAAAGCAAATCCTGCTGTAAAGACCTCTACCTCCCACTGGCATCACCTCCTGTCTGAGGAGATAGTGTTTAAAGTGCCCTCAATATTTCCAGCACAGTTTTTCTGCTGGTGTAGTTAAAGGCCACGCTGTCCTCTGGAGTGGACTGTACCGAGCCACCTGATGCGCAGGGACAGTGTGTGTCAGTGCACTGGGTGACGAGGATGTGCTGGGCACTTGTGGGCTCTGTTTTTACTGCTGATGAGAGGGGGAGTTGCTTCATCTTTATGCTTTAGTACACTGCTTCCCCCCTTATGCTTGTCAGGCTAGGGAATAGGTCCTGCTGGGGGCAACACACAGGGCACAGTTCTCACCTGGGATTTCTGGGCACTCCCCTTAGGGAAAAAGCAAGAGTCGGTGTGTCCATGTCTCTGTATTTTGGGAGGGAATTGAGGAAGCATCGTAGCAGATGTAAACCAGCTCCCATGCCCAAAATTCTTAAATCCCTGCTTCCCTCCTCCTCTCTGCCCCTCCCATGCTTCTCTGGCTCAAAGAGTTTTTGGTATTTCCAGCCAAGATTTCCATTGTGGGGACCAGGGGAGGGGAGCCAAACCCACGGTGTTAATTGCTTCCCAATAAAAGCCACTCTGGAGTAAGAGCTGAAGGGAAGCACAGGGGAGATTTCCCTTGATTTAATGACAACTTATCCTGGTCACAGCTCAAACAGTGAGGTCCTCCAGCACATCAAACTCTTCCCCTTCCACTGTGCTTGCATCATCTTTCTCCTCTTCAACATACTCATCATCGTGCCCTTCTCTGGATGCATTGTCTTCATAGCCCTGTTCCTCCTCATTCACATCTTCACCAGCCTGCTCTGGCAGGAGATCACCTTGCCCGTAGGCGTTCACCACCTGCTTGCAGAAGGGACAGGTCTTCTTCCTGGACTGGGTGTGGAACCAGGTGTTAATGCAGATGTTGTGGTAAGCATGGGAACAGGACAGGATCTTCAGGCAGTCCCCTTCCTTGTAATCTGCCATGCAGATCACACAGGTCTCGTATTTGTCTCCCTGCTTATATGTGTGCAGCTTTAACTTGTGAGCCCTCTTGTACCAGCTTAAACCAGCCATAACTGAGATAGTGGCAATGATGTAGAATGTCCCTGAAATGATGATGAAAGTTTTCTGCAGCATTTTAGCATTGACTTGACAAAGACTCAAACAGGGTTTGGGTGGTAGAAGTTTGATGTATGCCCCTTTCATGCATTGCAAAGTCCCTCGCAAGTGGAGGGAGACTGTCCTGTAAGGAGTGATATCTTAATCACCTGTTGGATTTCTTTGTCATCAGCCATTCAGTTGCTCTGAATCCACACTGTACACAACAGCAGTTTGATATCCAGCCTGCTGGGCACAATGGGCCTTCTCGACAGAAGAGCAGTCATAGCCCTGTATGAGTGCAACGTACATCTCCGAGGCCTCTCTTGGTGCTGCAGGATTCTCTGTTGCATGGCAAGCATTTGGTGGTATTGCTCTCATCAAATACCCTGTCAGCCCTTCCACCGGGACTTGTGGCCAAAAGCATGCAGGCAGGGCTTTGTAAGCAATGCACTCGAAGCTGTCATCGTAAGCCACGTAACCAAGGACTTCTGCAAGAGCAGTGTTGTAGAAGGCAGCAGCAATCACAAGGTGAGGAATTTGGGGGCAAAGATTCATGCTGAATGCAGTTGGGTAGCTCTGAATACAGATTTCCAGGCTGGTCCCTAAGGAAAAGTGTAAGAGACAGTCACAGAGGCACTATCCCACCCAGGTTTTATCACCATACCATGACTTGGAGCCACAGCAGGATGGAGATCAAAACCTCTTTCTGCCCCAGAGCTTTCTGTAGGTTCAGAGGTTCCCAGGATAGAACTCGCCTCTCTCCTGTTGTCTCCAGCTGCTAAGCAACACCCTTACATCATCTCTGCAGATCTGTGATATCACCCAGTGACTGTTTCCTGAGGCTGGGTCACATAACATCACTGCCAACCTGCTTAAACTTCTCCCATTCCTTTTGGTCTGCTCCATGCATGTAGCTTCTCGTTTCATCTCCCTCTGGGTGCCGATAGGATGCTGGCTTCATTCTGCTGATGATGTGCAGGCAGGATAAATGAGCCTCCCCAGCAGCTACGTGTCCATTGCAGACTGGAAAGCTTCATGTTGGTGACCAAAGTAATTCCTGGAAAATGTGACAGAGTGCAAACGAGCCATTAGCCTCTGTGTGCTGCTGGGGGGGGTGTGTGGCAGCTCGGATTGGTCTGGTGAACATGTGCTTTTTCCTTACAATCATGATCTTTGAACTGATACTGAGCCAAATAAATTGCTTAGGGTAGAAGGGGTTTCTGTTATTTGAAATAGTCAATCAGTAACTGATGGCCAAAATGGCAGCTCGCAGAAGTTGAAAGTCTCTTTTTGCCTGTGTGACCTCACTCTGCCATTACCCAAGCTTCTGAGAGGGCAGATCCACCTTCAAGGCCCTGGAGTGAGCAGCCAGATTTGCTGAAGGGGCTGATACACTTGGCCTCTTGCTGGGGCTCAGCTGCTTGGACTCCTGTCCTACCACAGTGAGAGTGGGTGGTGGATGAGCTTGGGAGGGCTACCATCAGCTTTCATACTGGGCTTTTTCACCTTATTTACTTTAGAACCTCAGCTGCTGGAATCAAATGGCTGGAAAAAAAAAAGACTTTAGCTTCTAGCTATAAAAACTGATTTTAAAATTCTGGTTATGGTGAATAAGCTGAAAAAGGAGTAGAAAGCATAAGGCACAAGTGTTGTCCCTCCCTTCCAGAGTGTTTGCCAGCAGAAGTTCCCATCTTTCAGGCAATTACCAACTCATATGGTGACTGCTCGGTGCCCAGAGGAACACCAGCCTCATGGGGATGCAGTAGCTCTCCTGGTTGTCAGGACGAACTAGGTCTGAATATGCAGTGAACCCAGGTCAGTTTGGAATCCCTAAAAACCTGTACCTTTTAACAAACAGCCCTTTTTGTTTAATGATCCACTTGAGAGTAGCCCCATGGTTTCCAGTGCAGTTTTGTTGGACCTGTAGTTAAAAAATCACTCGTGTACTAGGCAACTGATTTGTTACTAGCCCCCTTGGGCTCTGCTTGAGACAGATTTCACTGGGAAAAGAGCTACAGAAAATGTCAGCAGACAGTGTGTGTGTGCGCCAGAGACTCCCAGCAGCTGTGATTTCAAATCGATTTTATTTTCCCCTCATCTAAAGAGTTTTACACTTGCAGGGAGACATTTTGATGCATTTAAAAGCAAAACAAGGAGAAGGTTTGGGGAGGGGGGAGAAGCCAAATGCTTTCTAGTAGAATGAGAGATGAAGAAAATGGAGGTACGCTGGGACACCTTTTTGAGGGTGTATTTTTGGCTTTGTCTTAGGCTTCTTGTGAAGGCATCCATCATCCTAGTGTTATTTAAAATCTTTGGCTCTTTACTTGCACTCAGTGCTCTATTTCTGCCTCCCAATTAAAGCTTTATGTATTGCCAGTGACCTGCTGCTTGTGTAAGGGGTAGGTCTGTCTTTGGGGCTGGACAAGGAGCCACGTGTCTGTGTGAGCTGTGACAGATGTGGGACCAAGGAACATCCCCTTCATATTCCATGTGCTGTTATCTCCTGGCTGCTCCAGCACCACCTCTTACATCCTAGAATCAGCAAGGCAGGAGTGAGCAGCCATCCTGGTTTGCTCACCGAAACTCTTGGATAAAAGGAGAAACCGGGTGTTTGCAGTCTCTAACCGGGATCGCAGTAACCCAGAGACGTGTGGGCAAAAGGACAAATCCCCTCCAAGAGAGGTTGGAGGGCAAGGAAGAGGGGAATGGGGTACGGAGAAAGCTTTGGGGAGTGAGGAAAGAGGAAAAGCTGAATCCTGGATGGGGAGGAGGATACCCATACCCCACCCCCAGGCAGAGCGAGATAAGAAACCCTAGCCCTTGGCCTCCTTTGAAATCTCTGAATGCTTTTGCAGAGGGAAGGAGAGGAGGGCTGAATAAGGACTTTGGCCAAGATGGTCTCCACTCAAAGAGCCAAAGTGGTGCCCTGTCTGCCCTGGTTCTCTCTGTGCTTTCTGCTTGCATCACTGCTGCATGCCTCCTCCATCATCAGTGCCTGGGAGGCTTTGGCTCCCTCTGGTTGAGGTTAAGCCAAGCCTCCTGCCTCGGTGGGGGGCTGTGCCAGGCTGTCTCCAGCCCCATGCTGCGCTCATTATAGCCAGCACCATACTCTCCTTCTCATCCTGCCCTGCTCCTGTTAAATTCATGTGTTAAATACATTGCAGATGCTCCTGGACGTATTCTTGACCCATTTTCTCTGGAGTCCCTGCAATCTACTTTGTTGGAATAATTGCAATTTATTTAAATGTCAACAAGCCACACGTGGGAGACAGCAGTTGTGTGCAAGAGCAGAGCAATTACAGGGAACGGGTCCCATTTTACTACTTGAACAAAAATCCAAGCTCGAAGAAAGGAAAAGACCATTTACCTCTATTAACTGATCACTTACCCCACCACTCCCAAAGTCCCCATGTTCCTTTATACTACTTCTTTGGGGCTATCACTTAGTGCAGGAGCTGGGATGTAAAACCAGCTCCTCCTTTTGCTTGTATTCCACACAAGTGTCTGCTCAGTCCAGAGGAATTTAGTGCTGATTTAGATCTATGTAACTGCTAGCAAAATCTAACCCTGGTCCTGCCCAAACAGCTTAAACTGTATCAGAGATGTAGAGGAGACTGACTTATGTAGACATCATTACAACTTCAACAAAACACACGTTACAGGCTGCAGTTCCAGCATTGATTTAACTCGGGGAGTAAGTCTGGATGGCTTTTTCCCCTCTGAGGTTTTTGCAGCATGAAAAGAGAAGCCTGGCAGTGGTATGGATCAGACATCCTCTCCTTTATCTGTATTAGGTCAGTGTCTCGGGTCCACAGGCAGTGGCATTGCACACACAACAGCCTCTCCCTGCCCTCCACAGCCAAAGGCCAGGAGCAGAAAAAGCCATCGGGGCGTTAAATGCTTAGCTCAAGACATCTTGGCAAGTATCCCTAGTTCTAGCTTGGTGTCGTCCTTATCAGGACGTGCTGCTCCTTTGGGGTCATGCTGTAGGATTAGTGAGGACCAGGCTCCCAGAGCTGAAATACTAGTCATTTGCTGTGAAGGAAGATCTGGGGCCATCTAGTGACCTTCCAGTGAAAACCTTTGTGCTTCCAGTGTTCCCAGTCGCTCTTAAAAGAAAGCTATGTGGGACACACTTACCTCCCTCCTGCTGACTGAGCGAGTCCCCTGTTCTGCAGCAAGCTGGCTGGAAGGCAGACCTGCAGACCTGCACCCTGTTGTTAATGACTTTTTTCTTTTCTTTTTTTTTTTTTTTTTGCTAGGAGCTGATTTAGAAACTGGTGCATGTAACCACCTTCTTTCATCTAGGATGAAAGGAAAGGATGACCCATGTCTTTGCAGAATAGATAGCTGAAAGAGTCAGAGTCACCACCCAAAACACGAGCTGGGTAAATGAGAAATGGAGCCGTGTGTGCGGGAAGGTTTTGTGCCTCGCTCGCTGTTTGCCACCATGGGAGAGGGATGGAGAGCAGGTTTGTGGGAGCTTTGCAAGTCCTGCTGTGTGCACCATTCTCTACGTGTATCTTGGTACCATGTGCTCCTGTGCTCTACCAGGTGCCTCTCCTGGATTTCCCAGGGGTCCAGGCAATCTCTCCTCTGTTATTACAAGTACAAGCATGATAATCCAGGCCCTAATGCAGACAGAAGATTATAAAGCAGTGATTTATGGACCTGCTACAAAAGTACCCGTAATCTGCTAACGCCCACAATTAAAAAAGGCAGTTGAGCAAATCTGGGCCATTGCAACTTAGTACCCATGTCTGGAAATGGATTCCAGTTCCAGCTGCCTTGTAATGGAGGGAGACGTCTTTATTAGATATTGGTGCTGGAAAGAATATCTTGCCTTTTCCAGTTCTGGCAAAATGCCCTTGGACATACAGCAAAAACATTCTCTCCATTTAGCAGGGTTTTTTTGTTCTTTTTAACTATCTGCATGGAAAAAAAAGAATGTAGAGGACTGTGCTTGTTTTGTCAACCTAGATTTTGTGGTAAAAATTAGTTGGGGACTGTGGTAATTGGCCCCTTTGTTGGAATAA